GTAAGTCGTACCTACCTATAACGTCTAACCCTAACGGAGATGGTTCAGGTCGTGCGGCTGTATAAATCTGGTGCTCCGCACCAGATTTGTATAAGTTACGTCAGCAATGACGCTCATCGTGGCCCCCTACATGATCCCAGATGTTATGCTATACAATGCAGCTGGATCAGGTATACATGCCTGTATACGATGTGCATTGCTTACGTAATACGCACGAAGGGAGGGGGAAGCGTATTGCATCGGAATCAGATTATCTATTTTTCCGGCTTGGCGCGGTGTTATATATACTTGACGTCCCCCAGATTCCTTGAAAAAGATTTCGTCTTTTTCAATTATTTCTGCCGACCGTCGATTACACACCGCCTTCAGACCGACTTTGATCCGACTTGCCTAGAACTCGATGAACTCCTTCCTTGCAACTTCCCTAAACAGTACGTTCTAACTTCAAGCATTGACCCTGACAAGTCTAAGTGTAGACAAAAGCAGTGCGCTATTCTATAAATGAGACTGCTAAATCATTTTTGCTTATGCTACTGCTCTTAAGATTCTTACTTTCCAGTAGTTAGAATTTACGCAAATACCAAGATGTGGATATTGTCACTGAGCTAACCATTTCTTTTCAAAAATCTACACATATTTACAGAAGTCAACGTCTTTTGTGAGGTCGACTCCGGTTAAAGAGCAGACCTTTGAGAGGACTTCTAAGAAGAAGGCGGAATCCCTCTGTATGCTCGACTATTCGATAGGGTCGTCGCTACCCTTGTATTTACTCAGCTAAGACTGTCTGCTATCATTGTTATTCAAATGTAGGGACAGGTAAAGATGAGTGTAGTAAGTTAGTTGTTTTATGTACAAAGGGTGAGGCCGATCGGCGACAGATATATATCACAGTGTCTCTTGAGTACCTCAAGACCCATTTATGTCTTCCTTACATCAGCCGGTCTTATCCTTCCCGTGTATCATTCTCTTATGTCATTGTCCAACCCTTTGTGGATCTATGTCCAAGGCTGGACTCAGCTTGTCTGAGTATAGCCGATGGACAGTTCATGACATGACAGGATTATGTCCGGATGCCCATTGCAGTAGCGCATATGTCTTATAGGATGTCTTAAACGTCATATGCGCCTTCAATTAGTCAACCGATCTCTGCCCTGTTGTTGTATGCCCTTGGTAGTTGTTCCTGTCTATCTGCTCAACCTTTGGTGGGCCTTGTGTCCAAGGCTAGACCTGGCTGTCTGAGTGCAGTCGATGGACCGGCTGTGACATCACAAGGCGGTGTCTGGATGACCGTTCGAATAGTGCGTATGTCTTGTAGGATGCCTTAAACATCATACACACTGCCAACTGCTTGACCGGTCTTTGCCTTATTGGTGTATGTCTCTTGATTGTTGTCCTTGCCCCTGCCCTTGCCTGCCTTCCTTATTGTAGGCAGCTGTAGTGACTGTGACGTCACATTTGTTCAAGCATCTGAACTTCTGCCGAGAAGTTAGCAATCACGTCTTCACTGTAGTATGGAATGTTCGCCACCTGGGATGGCTGTCGAACATCGCGCTTTACCACAGTCCCCCATCTAGAGAGAGTCTTTCTCGAAAAAAAAAACTCAAGTCTTCAATCTTCTGTTCATAGATCGTATGATATATAAACTGTCGTCCCCCTCATCTGCCATACCTGTCAAGTCTGTTCTTCAACCTATTCTCTATCGTCGTTGTTATCCCCCTCTTCACCAATTTTATTCATCAACTCTGCTCAAGACTCTTTCAACTTACCGAATTTTCCTGTCTACTGCACTTAAATCCTCTGTCTCCCCCCTGTTGTCTTTCTCCCCTGTTGTCTCTTTCTCCTTATTCGCCACTTAAGTTCTGCTCCATTTCCTTTTTTTTTTTTCGTCACTCAATCCCTTATCCCGACAAAGATGTCTTCCCGCCAACAGTCCATTTCTCAAAACACCCCTGCCCCTGTCACCCGTGCGATGTCTCGAGCTGCTCGCTCTGAGACCCCTGCGTCTGCCATTTTGGCAGATCTGGCGACTGCATCACCCGTCAACCCCTCCAAACGTGCTGCCATGGCAGCTCATTTGGCCAAGTATCCTCCTCGATTCACGTTCAACGAGAACGACTATCCCGGCCGCGTTATCCCTATTCGTGCTACTATCACGGATAGGGAAGTGAACACCCAAATCG